GCCGCTCAGGCTGGCTGCTGGCCACACATGGTAGCCCATGGCAACCCACTGCAGCAGGGGCTGCAGCCTACGCCGTCGCCGGCGACTCACGGCAGCCTAGCTCCAGGTTGAGCTGTTGTTCAGCATCTTAGCTATAGAGGGCAGTGTCACTTGCCCTCATTTGGGGGATCCGGCCCGGGGCCCTCTGGCATCCCAAGCCAGCTCTTAAGCAATGCGCCACTCGGCCGACCCTATATAACATTTTTTAAATGAGAAAAAGTCTAGTAATGAAAACATTGTATTTGCCAAGGGTAGGGTTGGCTGGAGTGTGTGATTATATATAGGAATAGCATGAAGTACTTTCTTTGGGGTGATGAAACAGTTCTGTATCCTGATTGTGGTGGAGGTTACATTAATACATGTATGTGATAAGTTTACATAGAACTACACACACACACACAAAATCAGCACATGTAAAAAGTTGTAAAATCTGAATAAAGTTTGGTTATAGTATTGTAGCAGTGTCAATTATCTCATTTTGGTGATTGTACTATGGTTATGTCAAATGTTGCCATTGGGTGAAGAATGTGCAAGGACTCTGCTATTTTTGCAACCTCTATGTGAGTCTAAAAAAATATTTCAAAATAAAAAGTTCAAAAAAAAAAGAGACACTGTTAAGAAAATGGAAAGACGAGGCACAGACTGGAAGAAAATACTTGTGAAACATCTGATAAAAGATGTATATCCAGAATATATAAGTAAATATAATTCACTAACAAGAAAATCATATTTTTAAATGGGCAAAGGAATTAATTAGCTACTTCACCAAAAAAAGATATATGAATAGCATATAAGCCCACAAAAAAGATGTTCAACTTCATTATTTATTAGCAAATGCACATGTAAGCCACAGTGAAATACCACTATATACTCACTAGTATAGGTAAAATTAAATGTCAATTAATTTCACAAGAATGTGAAGCAACTGGAACTCGCACACATTACTGGTGGGAATGAAAAATGGTGTGGCCACTTTGGAAAACACTTTGATCATTTCTTATAAAGTTAAACATAGGACCCAGACATCCCACTCCTAGGTTTTTACCCAAGATAAAAGAAAAAAGTGTGAATGTTTATGCTAGCATCATCTACAATAACCTCCAAACTGGAAACAGTCCACATGTCCAAATGGTATATCCACACAATGGAATACCACTACTTAGTAATGAAAAGGAATGCAGCGTAGAGGAATCTTAAAATCATTAGGGCACGTGAAAGCCAAATAAGAAAATTACATGCTGCATGATTTAATTTATATGAAGATCTAGAAAAGGCGCAACTAAGCAATTCATTGGTTGCCAGGGGCAGGCCAGGGGTAAAGGCAGGGATTGACCATACAGGGAACATTTTGCAGTGATGGGGATATTCTACACCATGATTTTGATGGTGGTTGCTGTATACATTTATGAAAACTCATCAATCGTATGGTTAAAGTTGGTGAATTTATTAGGGCTTTCACATGTGCTATTTCTTCTGCCTAGAAAGCTCTCCCTTCTCTCCCTGCCTGGTTAACTCATATTCAGTGTTCAGATCTTGCCTAAACATCACATCATTAGGAAAAGGAATCCTTTCCTGAGCCCAGACTAGCATAGGCTTGCTTCCTTAGCCTTTTTCTTTCATTGCTCTTATCACAGCCATAGCTACAAAATCAGGCAGTTTCTCAACAACGTAATGTCTCTTTTTCTGTCTTAACCGCAAGCTCTGTGAGGAGCCAGATGCTGATTAAGGTTGTGTTCACAGTACCTAGCATAGAGCTTGACTCAGATACTCCAATACATAGGAGCCAGCTTAAGTGAGTAGAATTCTCTGTCTCCTGGTCATGGGAGTGCCTCTGTGGCTTCTGAGGACGGTACCATTGGCTGGGGCTGATTAGTTGGCTCCTTTGTCTGCTGCCCCTGCACTGTTCCTGGGGAGTTGTGGTGGCTGCCACTGCTCAGCTGCTACCACAGCCTTGTCCAGACTTCTGTGTGAGCACAGCAGACCCCACTCTGACTGCTAGGACACCTTTTTAGGGAATACGAGAGGTCTTTCCTTACTATTAATACTCTTAGCAGAAAGGGAAACCTGCCCTCTGTTTCTGGATCTACTAAGCTTTTTGTTTGATTTCCAGCAAGTTGGGAAATTGAAACACAGCCTTTTTGTTACCTGCTGTGGTAACAGTAAGTCAACTCCTGTGAAGCAGCAGAGTACCTCTCTCTGTCCTGATCTTTTATCTTCTTAAGGAGGGAGTACAAGTCTTCCAGGTAAGCTTAGAAAATCTTATCTGCAGACTTCTTGAGGTATAAACACCATCAGCTTTGCACCCAGCCTCTGAGCATATGTGCAGAGCACCCAAGACCATTATTGTCACTGGCCCTGGGCAGACCCAGTTTCCTGGGTAAATATGTGGACTATCTGATGAAGGTCCTGACACTCAACACTTTCCTCCATTCCTCTTCCCACTTCTCTTCTTCATTATTTCCCTACTCTGGTAGGCAAGAGGGAATTAAAGTTAAGGTAGGAAATTGGTCTGGATGACCAGTACCCTGTATTTGATCATCCTATGAGCATAGCTGAGTGTTCAAATCATTACCAAACTCTTTTTTTAGCCTGTGGTCTGTGCACTTAGGCAGAATTTATGAGACTCATCATTTCAGAGAGTCTTTTCTAGAGTATTACCTGACTAGTTTAGTTATTCATTTTGGAAATGTTGCTCTGGGCCTTTCTTTATCCAAATAATTTATCTAACTCCTCAGTTGCTTCCAATTTATCTTCTTTTTTAAAGCTTATATTGTTTGGACTTTTTTGTTCAGTTTTTATTTTTAATTCCATCACACCTAGATTAATTGTATTGTTCTCTTTCATCTGGGTTATTACAATAGCTCACTAGCTTTCCTCTTCCAGCCCTCTGGCCCTCCACTTCCCAGTGGCTTCCACCCTACTCCCAAGAATTCAGCTGGTAGAGTCCAGTTCAGAAGCCTAGCCATGGTAGGCACTTTATATTTGTTGAATTAATCATTTGTCTTGTTAGTCTTCTCAGGATTTTGTTTTGTTAGCGTTACCTTACAACCACACACACACACACAAAAAAACCCAGTAATTCTTTAGACCTAACTGGTTTCATGGTTTATTGTGGAATGTGGGGAGTAGTTTGGAGCTATCTTGCTGCATGTACTTTCGTTTAATAAGGATGGATAATAAGTTAATCAATAACCAGTATGAAAATGGGTAGGAAAAGACTGCCTTGGCTTTTTTTATTTTTTATTTTTTTATATTTATACAAGGAATTTTATCTATTGTGCAAAGAGGGTTATCTGGCTCCCCAGAGGTTCTGGGCTCCATTACGACTGTCTGTTTCACTACTCTAGCTCTAGTTCTTCTTAGCGATTAAAAGAGCTGGAAAGGCCTATGATCGAGGGCACTGATGAGGGCCACACACCCTTTAGCTCCAGTTAAATCCGTGGTGTTTGAGCTGTGTGGGAAGTGCGGATGCTTGCTTCCTGGTCCTGCCGCAGCCCCTGAAGTAGCTGGTTTAGGAGTGTAAGGTTGCTGTCTCTGCGAGGCAGGGGCAGGGGTGGGAGGCAGTTCCCTTTATACTCGATCACTGCCATCTTGGCCCGATCCTGCATGTTCCGATTTGGGATCTGCAGCATTCTCGTGTAGCCCCCATTCTGACCTTGGTACCGAGGGGCCAGTACTTGAAACAGCTTTGGGATCAAGTCTTTCTCTGTGAGCCAGAAGTCGGCCATGCGCATGGCTCGTTCGTTTGTGTCTCCCAGCTTCCCATAGTCGATGAGCTGTGAGGACATAACATCGCTGATGCAACCCGAGCAAGAAACGAGGCGCCAATCTTACTCTTCTAATTCATTCCCCTAGCAAAACTTCGCTTTATTTCACGCCACCCCTAACCCCGCAGCCCTAACCAGTCTCCCACTTGAGGGGCGGGAGGAGTGGGCTCAGCTCTGGGTAGTGGGGGATTCAGACTTCAGGTAGGGCAACCAGGGCGGTCTGCCTTGGCTTTTAATCAGACAGGCAGTGAATAAAGAACTGTGGTCAGAACCTAGATAATAACTTTGATGCCCCAAACGGTTCAGAACAATATTTTTTTTTGTTTCGTATCCTAATAGACTAAATGCTTCTCTCTATCTTATATTTTCTCATTATTAAAATAATTTTATATTTTCATATTTTACCTTATATTTTCTGCCCTGCTTCTCATTCTTTCAACCATTACAACTTCAACATATGTGTTACACCCAGAGATGGCTGTTGGGGGTCGGGGCTCTGTTCCAGTGACACAATGTGCGGCTCTGTGTGTGAGGTAGGGGTGATGTGTGCACCAGCTTACTGGCCTATAAATTTGGTGTTCCTCCCATGTCACTCTAAATGAGATTGTGAAGTATTTTGAATGAAAGTTTATCAGTTTCTCACAAAAATCAAGGTTTCATTACTCTGTGATAAATACATAAGAAGGACTGGTTTTAAATTTTAAAGTGTGGAAGTGACCTTGAAAATATGTTTCATTATAATTATTTGCTTTTTTTGTTTTCTTTTTTTGTTGTTGTTTTCCAGTAAGTTAAGACATGTATGCAAATTAATGCCAGTGACTTCCAAATCAGAGAAATTGTTTATCCTAGTAGAAGTTTTACTTTTTGTATTGTTTTTTAAATTATCAGTCATTTCCTTAAGTACATGTAAGCAGATGCTAACCAGGCTGTGTAATATTTTTTCTTTCTAATTGTGTCTTTTAATGAAACAGTTCTTTGAACATGATCTAGCAGTCATTGTTACTATTAGTGAACAGAATGAGAACTTGAAATTCCTTTTGTTAACATCACATTTTCTGTTTTGCAGCTTCTCGGTGAATTTTTGGATGAAGCCATTAAATTAATTGCTTGCCATCATGAGCAGAAGTAAGCGTGACAGCAATTTTTATAGTGTAGAGATTGGAGACTCTACATTCACAGTCCTGAAACGATACCAGAATTTAAAACCTATAGGCTCAGGAGCTCAAGGAATAGTATGGTAAGTTTTTTCTTCCAAAAATTAGGCAAAGAATCATTAACTGCTGTTATTTTATCCTCTTGTAATATAGATATCTTGATGTAAATATTTAATTTACCTCAAATATAACTAAAACTATAAAATTTACATTAAAGCTATAACACAGTAAGTTGTTTTGTTCAGGGATTAATGGTGTTTTTTATTATTCATAAAACAACTATAAATCAGCACTGCCATCTTTCAGTATGACTTGTGCTTAAATACGCGGTCATATGCCATATAGAGGCAAATATCTGTATCAGGAAAGAATAAGTGGCATGCTTATTGATTCCATGTATACATCGTTCCCATAATTAATTGTTTAATAAGCTTCACTTAATCATCACTTTCACACTATAATGAAGCGCTGGAATTTCAGAAATCTTATTTTACACTGGGGAATGAAATCAGCTGTATCATCTGTTTCAAAACTCATATATATCTTTAAAATTGATTTACAAGCTAATTTCTACAAAAAGCCTAGGCTTTATAGATCAGCATAATTCCTTATAAACTGAAAGGGAAAATACTTGTTGGGATAGCTCTGTTCATGACTTTAGATCACTAACTTAGCATAATAAGCTAGTGTTTTGGGGAAATTCTAAGCCTCACTCAAACATAACTGTATCTTTATTAGTTTTTGAACCAGAATTGTTTTGGAGTCTATTAAAAAATTTAAGTGTTTATGACTCTGCTGTTCTCCCAGGTTCTAGAAGAACTCTTGCACATGTACTCAAATAGAAATACATGGGCTGTTCTTTGCAGCACCATTTGTAATAGCAAAAATTGGTAAGGGCATCAAATCAATCAATAGAATAAAAAATAGTGCTATATTCATATAGTGAATTACTGTACAACATTTAAATGAACTGGAGCTATATGTTTTAACAAGGATAATCTCAGAAATGTAGTGTTGATTTTAAAAACCAGATGCAGAGTATGTACACATTGTATATAGCTTTTATGTCGTTTAAAATAGGTAAAACAATACCATATATTTATGGATGCATATATATATATAGAAAAATGTAAAAACATTCATCGATACCAAACTCAGAGTAGTGCTTACCTCTGAGAATACACTGAAGGAAAGGGGCTTTATCTACTATATTTAAATCAGAGCAATTAGAGTAAAATACTAAAATCTAACACAATTGTGTAATGGGAATACTAGCATTTATTTTTTATGTATTCTTGAAGTAATTTATAATATCGAAAATTACGGAAGTTGAGTCATTTTAGAAAGCATTACTGGCTGGCTGGTTTTCATTTTAACCAACCACATTTAACCAACTACAGATTAAAGATAAAGAAAATGTGACAAAGTGAACACGGGAAGGATTCCCCTGCTCTTGGTTCAGATTCTAGCTCTATGATTTACTAACTTTGTGACTCGTCAAATTAACACTTCTAAGGCTTCTCACCTAATTTACAGGGTTGTTCAGAAGAATACATTGTTTATAAATTACTTAATACTCTTTAAAAATGTATTAATGTTTCTGTACCGTCTTTCTTTCACTTATCCTCAGGTAAGTGCATTTTGAAATTTGTGTACTAGAGTTTTAAAAAAAGTTGCTTTGGAAGGAAACTTAAGCCATCTTAACAGCCCCTATCCTAAGGAATAAATATCTTCAAATTGTTGCTTATTCTTTCATAAAAGATTATGAAATAGACCAATATTATGCCAAAAAAAAAAAGAATTCTCACTGTTGTATTACTATCAGAATCAACTGAAGAACTTGATTTTCTTTATAAAGGCATTTTTTGGGGCCCCATTCATAGATGGTAAGATTCATTGGGACTGCATTAGGGCCTCTGAATCTGCAGGTGTTTCCGATTTGTGCACATTTACAAATGAACGGTTAGAAATCTAATTTCCTTGGATATAAAATGATATAACCTATTCAGATACTTTTGAACTTTAGAGTTTGAAATATCACTTGATTTAGCAGAAAAATTAATAAGAATGAATTTAATGGTTAAAAATAAAATGTACTTTATCCGAAATATGTCCCCAAGTATTTTTTTTTTAATTTAGGAGGGACATATCTATAAATATGGCATTTTCTAAGTAGAGATTATAATACTAATGTATATTTTTGTATTTGTATGTGTATATATGTGTATAGGCAGTAGTTATGGTATATATAGAAGGTACAGATGTGTACATTTATGCAATTCTAATTTCTGAATACATGTATTTCTACAATATATTTGATATAGTGAGATAGCCATAAAACAAACCCAATTTTCCAGTTAGGTGAGAGAATAATTTTAATCAGTAGTGTGCTGACTTTTCAAGTATTACATAAACAGAAATAGTCTTTTATAGTATGTTAGGTGGTCCAGTATGAAGAGCATGATCTCTTGTCTTAGTCTTCCAGTCTCATCTTTGCTTTGTAACTTTTCTAACCTTGGGCAAATTACTTAACCTCTGGCCCTGTATCAGGCAGTAGTGACTCCAAATGATTTTTAAAGTTTTTTTCAATCATAATATTCTATAATTTTAAGACACTTACCTTATTTGTGCTTTAGTTTCTCTGACTTGTCATGTGCATAAGGTGCTGTTTGATGAGTGTCATATGGGAGAGGAAGCTATGCAAAATAATGAGTATGATGTTATGTTTCCTGATGAGGCAAAAAAGGGTTAATAAAAAAGTGAGCCTGAAGGGGAACTGCCCAGACCTGCATCCCCTCCCCAGGAACAGCCCAGGCTTATCCCCCAGAAACAAATGAAAGGTGTCCAAACACTCCTAAAAACAGGAGGTAAGACCCAACTGGTATTAATTGGTTCCTCACACATGCGCAGACTGTTAAAACCTGTCTGTTATTTGAACTCTAGCCTCATTATAATACAGTTAAAATAAAATGAACATTAAGGCTTGGCCCTCCTGTGGGTTTTTCTGTATGCATTCTGGGTAAGAGCATGAGCAGAAAGAATCTAGTTATATAACCAACATATGTCAGTCAAATGACCTCAGTGTATGTGTCACATCTCCTGCTGTAAGGAAATTTGCCTACCCTTTCCTATATTAGAAAAAGCTAACCTAAAGTTAGGTGCAGTTGTCTGCCCCAGCAACTTCTGTGCCAGTGTCTTTTTTTTTAATAAACTTCTTTGCTGTCCTCATTTCAGGTTGAGTTTGTGAATTTCTTCACCTTTTGTGAATGACCAGGGGTTAATTCCAATGACACAACATTTCCCAGAATTATAGATGTTTCATTAACAGTTATGAAGCAACTTCTGATGTCCTAAAGTCTAACATTCGTATTTATAAATACCTTGATTTTCGGGCCAGCTGAGTAGTGCATTGGTTAGGAGTTGGCTTGGGAGCTCCAGCTCTGAGCAGCAGGTCCCGGTTCGGATCCCACATGAGGGCCAGTGACGCTGCGCCCTCTACAGCTAAGATGGTGAACAACAGCTCCACCTGGAGCTGGGCTGCCATGAGTTGCCGCGAGGGCATAGGCTGCAGTGGGGCTGGCCGGCAGCAGGCGTGAGCTTTTGTGAGCTGCAGTGAGCGGCTGTCAAATGGCCACGAGCGACTGCCTCACCTGGGAAGAGCGCAAAGATAATACCAACATGGGCCAGTGAAGTGATGTCCTCCACAACTGATTGAAGAACAAAAGGACAGCAACGTGTCGGTTCCCCTTCCCTGATTCCCCAATGCTGTTCCCCTCCCCCAATTCCCCAATAAAATCTTTAAAAAAAACAAACCTTGATTTTCAATTCCTCCTCCAAAACAAAAATGTTTTTAAATTAGTTTCAGGTATACAAAACATAATAATTAGACATTTACACCCCTCATAAAGTGATAACCACCCCCCACTCTGCTACCCCTCTGACATCGTATATAGCTGTTACAATACCATTGACTGTATATTCCCTGTGCTGTACTTCACATCCCATGAAAACAAAATTTTAAGGGCTTTTTATATTATAAAA